TCAACCGACCTGAAATCGATGAGCCGCGCGCGTTGCGAAATTCCTCGCCCTCTCCCCTGCAGCGAGCAAAAACGGTCGCTTACGCAAATAATAATCGCGCGCAAACACGGGCGAATGAAGCTGCGCCGACGTCGTGTAAGTCATGTCAAACACTTGTTCCGCCGGTTCAAAAACCGCGGACAAAGCGCGCGGCCGAGACGTTCGCGATTCGCGAGATGCGCGCTCGTATTTTGCCGCACATGTACACGCTCGGTGCAGAGCTGCAGGTGCAACGGTCTCGTGACGTCGGCGCCCATTGTTCGAAGGTGGCGGCAGAAGCGCGCCGGCCGCGGATCCCTGCATGCAGCGCAACGACTGCGCACCGCGCTTTTACGAGCCTTTCTTCCAGCCGAGGAATTCTTTTTCGGCCGAACGGTCGTTCCTGCCTCTCGGCGCCGAGAGAAGCGCACGCTGCAAATGGCAGCGAACGTGCGCATGCAATGGGGCGGCTATGTAACGAATGCATAGATCGAACGCACCACCATCATTATGCCCTGCTGAACTCGTCTTGGGAAGGATGAGAATTTATTACGTGTCGTAGAGCTATATTCGCGGACTTTGTTATTGTTGTTGGATTCGTGCTGTCGCGCCAATCCGCGTGTCCGAAGTCGCGAATGTTTACGTAACCGAATGATTGATTTCTGAACTGCACATGATCCGCGTGCACCGTCCTGTTGCAAACAATTGCTTGGTTAATAATTTGTAGTACACGAAGGGAATATTATAGTTCTTATTTTTTCATATTTTTTTTCAATTTTACGATATTTCATGTTTTTTCTCAAAATGCTTTTCGATTATATCACGACCCTTATTCTCTCAAGTCTCTTTGCAAGTGTCTCTAAAACTGAATCTAATGTCTCTAAAGCTGAATGTGCTCTTTGTTTCCTGTTTTTTGTTCTCTGTTTTTCACTAGTTTAAGATTTGAATCAGAAGAAGGTAAAGGAAAAGAAACAAGAAGCAAAGAAGAATTGAAGATCAAGATTATAAGTGACTTATAACCAAGTAGAAGGCTTATAAGAGGCTTTTTCAGAGGCACTTTTTTGAAAGAGAGTTTAACATAGAACCAAAGTTTCTAGCAGTGCAGAAATAGATTGTCAGTAAAGTCTATTTCGCTGAGGGAGTCTAGTAAATTTCAAATTATCATATAAATTACAGCAATTTTTTAAATAGCACATTTGTTAGGTACTGACAACATAAATAGCAAATATGAAAAATGAAAAGATATTCAATTACTGCTGAATGTCGATTCATCATTAGGTGTCCGATAAAAAATGCTGAGTCGACGTTGCTCATTTTATCTGTGAAAATTATAAATCCTTCGAAATTACATAACTTCGTTTTCCATTTAATTTGATAAACACAACAGACAGTTTGCACCAACCTAATACTTCGGCCGAACAAAAATAGACAGCTTCGTCGAGCACGACTCCGAGCCGCGCAAATATTAAAGATTCATAATCTGGTTAGCCGGCCACACTAAGCTAGTTTATTAACGAGTCGGGAAACCGTCAGGGACTGTCCTATCAGAGTAAATCATGAAATTACATAAATGTGCACTTAGCCGGCGCAATGTGTGTGGTGTGTGTAGCGTTTGCGCGTACTTTTTCGCAAAATTTCAACTTCTTTATCCTATACTATAAAACCCCCTCGTCTTCCCCGTAAATTCTCCCGATGCTCTTGTTAATTTAAACGTTTAACGTTGGTTATTAAACGTTCGTATAACTAAGCTCAGCACCTGCCGCGACCTTGCCTGGAGACACTTAATTAGCTTATCTCGCGACCGTGCGCTCGATCGTCGTGAAATCTCGTTTCACGAAGCAGCGGCTCTCTCTCTCTCTTCTCTTCTTCTTCGTCTCTCTTTCTCGCTTAACTAATAACTAATAAGCCGACCGATACGCGAAGACGTAACGGGATATTCGCTTCTTTCGACGCGAGGAAAGCCTGCGTCCGTCCGTGAAAACGCGGCGTGGAGGAGGAGAAGGTGTGAAACTTTTACCGACGCGACGTTTACGAGCATGAACGCGAACGCGATCCGGGAGAAAGAAATTCGTCGGGGCCCGCGGAGTTCCGGGCCCCGACCAACGCTGCCGGCTCCGGAGAGACGCGTTCTGTATGCGTTTGCAGCCGGTTCGACTGCATTTCGTGACGACGCACGTACTCTTTCTCGCACACTGCCGCGAACACCTCGTGTACACATGCATACATAGATACATACGTATATACGTGTATACACACATACATATATGCGTACACAAATGAGCAGACGCGCGAGAGACCCCGAATCTCTCCGTGGTCGCGTCTCGAGCGGGATCGACACGAGGGGCCCGTGAGGCCCGCGACCAGACAGGCCGACCATATGCGCAGCATATGTGGAAATCGATCGGCACGTCGTCGAGTGATGTAGATTGCGAGATTATTTGAGATTGCGCAAGTAGAGCTGATGTTTATTAGGTATTGATACGACATCAAGTCACGATTCCCCTGATCCGCAAATTGTGGCTCCTGGTCTTTCGCCGCGGAACTCTTGATTGATGACGTCAAACTCATGCCCAACATTTTTTGCTTATCATTTTTCAATAGAAGAGATATTTGTATAAAGGGAAACTTTAAGTCATTCGTGCGTATAAAATACCCTGAAAGATATCCTTTTCTCTTGATATCAGTCAATAAGTAGCCGTAAAATTGACGTGACATGCAACTTTCCTCTTCGATCTACCTTTCCCCATGATTTCGTCACATTACTTTTACATTAGTTGATTTTATTGACTGTTAAGAGGAAAGTATATCCAGACAGTGCAAATTACTGAAAGACGTTTAAAAGATGTCTAAAAAAATAGGACATTTTTGGTAGATTGTGTTATCTGAGTAATTTCCAAAGTACATTTTATAAGTGTGCGATCTGAAGCGTCCTTTCACTCAAACATCTTGTTTGCAAATGACGCACGAATTGTCAGCATGTCATTTTTCTGACGTCATGATTCAACGTGGTCGCGGCCAGTGCCTAGAAGCTTTAAACTCGATATTGTTATTTTTAATACCGACATTTTTGTTGACTCGACTAATGGCGGAAGATCTCGCGACTCCTGCAGGAATTCTCCAAGAGCCACGGGATATTGAAGCGCATTCAAGATTCCAGCACGGATACAGCCACCCACGTACGACAGAGCACATTCGTTCTTGGCATTAGGCTAACGCGATTCGATCACAGGCAACGTGCACGTACGTACGTACGTCCGTTCGTCCGTCGTCGATTCGTTCGCTCATCCGCCTGCTTGCCCTACGTTCCCTTCCCGGACACGCCTGGAATCACAATTTCAAGTACCCCGACTGATCTCTCTCCTGATCGTAACCTACGCGCAGAATAGCTAAGAGAGGTTTCTTCCTAGTACCTCTCTCGTGTCGAGGATGCTTTGTAAAGCGTTGGCATAATCGACGTCGATTATTAATCGATAACTTTTAACTAGGAAAGGCGCATAGGGGCGTTTTGCGCAACGGGACCCCTCGCACCATATGGCGAACGGCGAGGCGAAAATATTGGGCTTTTTAAATACATAATAGCATACTTTAATCTCCCCGGCATATAACTTGAACCGTGAGTCATAAATTCCTGATCGTTCACTTTAATGTACTGACTGTTCGCATCGTGAGCTATCTTACAGTTCAAATCAAAATGTTGCCAAGTAACAATCTCGCTGAATATTCGTCAATTTTTGTGATGGGTTCAATCTTTAAAGAGGTCTCGATAGTGGAATCTCTCGGTACTGTTTAAGGGACGCAGAGTTGCGATAATGAAAAGAATTACGACGAAAGTTGGTTATTACCATTAATCGCGGTACGCCCAGTCGAGCGAACGTTTGGCAAAACAAATGGCGACGTTATTTGCGCGATTGCACGCGTATCGTATTTCTGTTACCGGGTAAGGAGCGCTTGCGTATCGTAAGCTTACAACCACACCACGCATTCAAATCACCGGTCAGTGCACCGCTCTGCCTCTTATCTGCCTCCGCTGTAAGCAGCGATCGTTCTGCACTTTCGTATAGCGGAAATATTAATGCAAATGTTGTTTCGCGGGACTTGCGCGTGTATTCTTGGTGAATCGTAATTACGCGCGGATTAACGCGTTCCCTCGCGGTTAACTGTAGCCAGCAACTTGAAACCCACCGTAACGCCGGCCGTTTCCAAAACGCGTTAGCAATCTTTTACGATTGTTTAGACAGGAAGGATTTTCGCTGAATCTCGTACGAACATTCTGTGAATACGTAATATAAATCAATGCCTCTATATCTTAAGTTTTCGTCGTTTCAACTTCCTGTTCCGTCATTCATTATGAAAAGTGAATGAGGCACTGAGAGATGCGTTTAGAATAATTTCATAATATAATAATAAAGTGTATTAATTATAAGTATTATTTTTGAAAATTTGAAATTCTACGTTTAATAATTATATATATATATATATATATATATATATATATATATATAT